AACTCCTCAGCTTCAAGCCTTCCACAGGTGAACCTTTTGAAGGGCATTCTATATGCAAACTACAACACTATTTATTGTTTTTCATTCATTCATTCATTCCCCCAATACTTTGGAAAAGCCCTATGTTAGGGATTGTATTAGGTATTAAAGATGTAAAGAGTATACAGAGGAAGAACTAAGGAACCATAGTTAGCTTTAGAGTTAAAAAACTGCTGTTGAAATGCTATAAAAAAAAACGTCAGCCAGGTACTGGTGGCTCATACCCATAATTAATCCTAGCTACTCAGGACGCTGAGATCTGAGGGTCACAGCTTGAAGCCAACTCAGGCTGAAAAGTCCATGAGACTTTTATCTCCAATAAACTACGTTGAAAAAGGCAGAAATGGTGCTGTAGCTCAAGTTGGAGAGTGCTAACCTTGAGCACAAAGAGACTCAGAGACAGTGTTCAGGCCCCTAGGTCAAGCCCCAGGACCAGCAAAAATAAAACTAAAAAATAAAAAAAAAAAAAAAAAAAAAAAAAAAAAAAAAAAAAAAAAAAAAAAAAAAAAAAAAAAAAAAAAAAAAAACTAAAAAATAAAAATCTAAACAAAACATTCTATACAAAGTAGAAACACAAAGTTCCAATTACTGTTACAGAAAACTGAGAACTACTTTAAGATTATGCAATTAAGTATAATAAAACAATAACCAAAAATCAAAATTCCAAACCTTAAAAAAGAGTGGGCGCCAAGTGTTAGTGACTCACATGTATAAGCCTAGCTACTCAGCAGGTTGAGATGTAGACAACTAGGAGTCCAGGCTCATATTTATATTTTGAAGAAAGAATGTCTTAGTTAAGAAAAAGAAAAAAAAAGCACTAGTTTGAAAAACCACAAACAAGTCAGCCAGTGAGGAATAAGTAAAAATCTTCCAAGTCTTTCATACTTGCTGAGGTGTTTGGATGTTTTGTAAAAGATGTAGAAGAATGAGTATTAGTAAGACCCTGTAAATGCAATTCAATGAAGGAAGCTGGTGAAGAGACCCACAAAAGCTACTCCCACGTAGCTGGGGGCAGACACTATAGCCAAAAACCAAAAAAAAAAGACACAAAAGAAATCAACTGCTATAAAAATAAAAAAATGAGAGTTGTGGAAATATGGAGAGGCTGTTTGTTGATGGAAATGCCAAGATGTGGAATGGGTAGAAGATTTTCATGGAAATGTGATCAATTCAGCCTGCCACACATTGGGTTTCAGATACTTTAAGGACACCTCAGAGAAAGGACCACTAGCTGATTGATAATATGTGCCTGTACTCAAGACCTCCGATCTGAGAGAGGGGATGAGGTTGTGAGTATGAGTGTCTTTGTGTCATAAAGGTCTGAAGAGAGCAGGCAATGGATGAGACCAGAGTCCTGGAAATGAGATATAATTGATAAGTGATCAGATCCTAGAAGGATGCCAAGACATGATTGATGTTGTCCTGGACACACTAGAGAAGAAAAAGTATCTAGAAGACACCAGACAGTAGTGGCAAATAGCACTAGGATGTCAAGAAAAGAAGGGAAACAGGAAACAAGGAAATTTACTTAAAATGAGATGTTATTTTGAAGAGGAAGCAGAGTTGTTATAAATAATTTCATCAAAGTGATATAACCAAAAAATGGTAATTTAGAATAAATCATTTCATAACTACAGCCTTGGAATCTGGTATTGCAAGAGCACTACTTATTTTTAAAAAAAAGTAATATTAAACCAAAGACATGGCAATTTTTTATGTCTTAGTTTTGGTCTAAGAACATTTCTTTCTTTTGAGTATACCATCAGGCTAGGATTCATTAACTCTTCAATAGTAGCTTTTGTTACATTTGACTTGTGCCAGCTATGTCTGAAAATTTAAGATATTTAAAAAGTAGTATGTAAAATAGTGGGAGAATAAAATATGTAGTATGTTTAGAATTCTGGTTGCTAGAGCTGTGAAAGCCAATCCACACAGGTTATCTTATTTTGCCCATCTGCTGAGTTTTCTTAGCTAAAAGTTAGGGTGAGGTGTATTTTACACCTGCCAGTTCAGTTTCTTTGCACAGATCTGAAGAGTATTAGAATCAGAAATTCTTCTCTCAAGATCAATGGACGGTGTAAGAGGTGGTTCCAGAATCTTCTAGAGCTGTACTTTAAAAATCGTATATTGATTAGTACAGAGCTGAGAAGTGAAAATATAAGTTTGTTCACCAAACATGTATTTCAGGTTGGGGGGGGGGGGGGAGGTGGTAGGTGTGAAGGAAGGGGAAGAATACTGCATCACAGTGTAACAAGTTTTTATTGGTTTTTGTTCACTATTGAATCTCGTTAAAAGATGTTTGAGCAGCCTTGCTCTAAGCCCTTCTTATTCTAAAATTCTGATCTAGTTAACTACCAAGCTGTTATTTTGGTTTATAGTAAATGTTTCAAACAATGCCATGGAGTGGAAGGTATAAAAACTACCAGGAAGTGACTGCTAATAACAAAGGAGAATAAAAATAAAAGGTAAATAAGGCCGACATCTGTGTTGTATTTTTACCACAGGACTCAACAAGCCTTTAAAATTTATTAGTATTCTGACTAGCAGGTCATTATTGTAATTTATGAAGAAAAGTTAAAGTATGCTATATATTAACAGACACGAGAGTAATTCTTTTGATGACCATATAAATAAGTAGCCGTATCAAGGAGAAATAATACTTTTTAGAAGTAACAATACTGTGGCACATAAATTTCCACAATTGGCAATTTAATAAATGTAGTGAGTCTCCACCCTTGCCACATAAAAAGGTTGATTGACATGGTTATGAGACAAGTCAGTGTGTTTTTATTGGCTTGAACTAGAAGGAGTACACACCTTGGTCAGGTGTTTCCTTTTAGCCACAGCTGTTTGAACTTCCCCTACTGGTTAATTCTGCTCCAGGGTGTATTTGAGCATTTGCTTTCCCCAGCTTGCTTCCTGATAGGATCCTTGTGAATGAGCCATTTCCTCTAAAACCAAGAGAAAATGAGTTAGGGATTAAAAAAAATTTTTTTTGTAAACTGCTTTAAATTTTTCTTTAACCTATGAAATTTCATAACTGTTGGTACTACAGAAGGCCAATGGAAAAGCCATGAGTCACCACACAGGAAAGATTTGTATCTTCCAACACAGTTCTTGAAGATTCCATTAGCCACTGAGTCATTTCCGCCTCCCTGTCTTTTATAAACTCTGGAGTGTTGGCTTTGCCCCTCTGCCAATCTCACCTCCAGCTTTTAGCAGTATCATGTCAGCTGTCTCCTTTCCAGTGAAGTGTAGGCAGGCAAGAACTTCAGCTAGTACATGCTATTTGCCATCTTTTCTTCCCTTCTTCCTCTAGGAGTTCTGGAAGGTAGAAGGTGGACACTGCTGGTGGGATGATGTGGGCGCGGTTAGTGGTGGTATGGGCGGCACTGAGGGTGAGGGGGGTATTAGTGGAGTGGGCAGTGCCATCAAAGCAGGGCTGATGGTCTGCAGTTGATTAGCTTGTGGCAAGTGCACAATTTCCTCTTCTACTCCTGCATTGTAGGCTGCTACACTCACCTAGGTATACGGACATCCGTGATTGGGCCAAACTGAGAGAGAGCTTTTTTGTTTTCTTTCAATTTTATGAGAGAACAGCAGTAGGACCTAATCTTCCTGCCACTTCCCATGGATCCTCCTCCATCATTTCTTGGTGCCTCCCAAAGCCCGGGAGATAAGATATGTTGACACCCAAGTCCATGATAGATGAAGTACATGAAGTCCAGGCCACAAGACACAGCTAAAACCTGAAATTTGCAATGAAGGTAATATGTACAGAGGGAAATACATAAAGGGTAGTAAGTTTATGTTGGGCAAGGACTGAATAGGAAAAATCTTTTCTTTGAGTTTTATGGTCTTGAATCTAAGACTCAACTCTGACAATAACCATACTTTCTTGTAGTTATAAATTTTCTAGTTAAGTGATGATACAAATAGATCCTGCATTTATTCCAAAAGTTTGTTAAGATAGTGAAATAAATGATATCCTTATCAGTTTCTTGTTCTTTGGAAAAACTGAAAATTTTCTGTTTCTGTGTGTGTGTGTGTGAGAGAGAGAGAGAGAGAGAAAGAGAGTATGAGAACGAGAGAGACTGGTTTTAGGATGCCAATAAAAGCTTCAAAAACTCATTTATATTCCTCGTGTACTTTCTCTCTGGAAATTTTCATCTTCGCTTCATATGCAGGATTTCAACCAGAAGCCGTGCTGATTCATGGATTCCATCCATTACAAATATAGTAATTCCATAAAGCCTGCAAATATTTGCATATCCCCCAAGTTCATTTCCGTGGCTAGCAGCAGACACCACCACCATATGGATTGTGTGGGACAGTCTGACTGCTCATTTCCAGGGCCTAAGGCTTGGAGCATGATGTAGAAGCCTTGGACACCTCAGCACTGCTGTATGTGTCATCACCTGTTTGATGTCTGGACATGATGTCCAATAGCCATCATGGCTGCCTCTTCCTACTTTGAGTAGACTTGAAATAGGCAGGCCAACTGAAAAAAGTACAAATAAGGATAGAATTATCACCTTAAGTAAAATTACTACTTTGTGTCCTGAAATTAATCTATAGTCTTTGTGACAGTCTGATTTAGATACTCTTAATGGAGTGTAGTGTAATATAAATAATGACTTCTTGGTTCTTCTTGCTCCTGAAAGAGATGTGTTTGACTATCATGTATATTATATGTCTAACCCTAGATCTTATATTTTTTGCAAAATTTTAGGCAGCAAGTCATTTATTGTGCAAAGTAACAACAACATATGGGACACTTTATCATATAGGAAGTCAGAAGTTTGCACCCAGAATAAATCATGCCCTCCAAAGCCCCCAGAACCCAGGTGTCCCTAAGTGTCTCTTGCTTCCTGTCATCCCTGCTTCCCTTTTAATGTGACACTGTCTTTCATAGAGCCTGAAGGGTATGTGAGTTTTGACTTGTAAAATTCTTCTTTTAGGATCCACCCACTTCTGTTTCCCTTGGACTGCGAATGGAAGAAATGATTTTCAATTTGGCGGACACACATTTGTTTTTCAATGACTTAGAAGTAAGTTCTGATTATGCTACACATACTTCTTGTTGCATGTCTGAAACTAGGTGATGGGTTTGAAATCACACTGGGATACTATGTTTGAAGAATATAATTGAAATAACAAAACAGTAACTACTGTTTATATGGTGATCTGTTCTGGCAGTTCTCTTTAGCTTGACTTTGGCCATTGTGTTTCAAAACTGGATCCTCTAAGACAATTAGCAAGGATTGAAATTTTCTATTGAGAATAATAATCACCTGGTGCCAGTGACTCACATCTTCAATTCTAGCTACTCAGGAGGCTGAGATCTGAAGACTAAAACCCAAAGCCAGCCCAGGCAAATATCCTAAAGACTCATCATCAGTTAAAAACTTGCATTTACTATCCATGCCAGACTCATTATATACAGTCAGATGCTTCTCTGTCTAGTCCAGTTATTGGAAGATTGAGTAAGACCTCTGCTGTTTGACCAATATTTTATGTCTAACTGCTGATGAAGGTGGTTTACTGTGATTTGGAGAAGTTTTGTTAAGATGGCTAGCTAAATGTATCCTGGGCATTGACAAACACTGATCTTGGTTAGCAGGTATCTTAGCAGTAAGGAACCCCACTTTTAATATTTGCATTATGAGAAAACATGACTCTAAGTACATTTCACCTCTTTCTTTATTAAATAGAGACAGTTGTTTATTTAAATCCTGCCGTTAAGCAAGCTTGTGGCAGGGCTGCCAACAGGCATTAATCATCAAGTTGTTGTTTTGCTGGATTTTATAAATGTATGTTATTTCAGACAGGAGAAGAATCTGAATAGAACTTTTACTGATCAAAGTTAATTGGCAGCAATTGGCCTTTAAATATTTCCTGATGTTTCCTTTTTTTTCAAAATCAAGCAAAATGCACCTTATTTAATAGATGAGCCAGAATCATTTGGAAAAGGCCAGTGTGTGACAGAACTTAAATGTGGTTCGTTCAACATCTGTGCTGCATTTTGATTTCTTTTCATCTCCAATGAAACTACTCACAGACGAATTGGCAGTTTCCAGTGCAATAAAATTATACAAATGTGTTTTATTTTTCCCACTCTTTAGCGAAATATTTATTTTTACACTTAAAAGTAAAATGCATTTTTTTTTGCATTTTTAAATGTTTGCTTCCCTCCAGGAAATAACATGTAAGGCATGGTTATTTTTTAAGGCACAAATATTCTAAGTGAGTGACAAGTTCAAAATGGCCTCTATAAAAGCTTAATAATCACACTTGTTTTCCAAAGCTGTTTCTGATTTCTGGTTGTGTTTCTTTTCATGAGAGAGCAGCACCAAAAAAAAATCATATTTTGCAAGTGCGTTAAAATGCTTTTGCTAAGTTTCCATTTATTTCCAAAATACTTAGTACTATTTTGTGCTAAGTACAACGATGTTACTCTTATAAGTCTTAGTAGGTGTTAATAACACCCATCAAGTAATTTGCTATTATTTTTAAACTGCCTATTTAAAAATGCCACTAGTTCCCTATGTGGTGCCAAAAGTATGTGAAGAAAGAGAAGTTATAAAAGTAGTAACTTGGTATAATATAAACCAAAAATCTTCCACAGTCTGTTTTGTTTTAATACACATTTTTATTTAATTGACATTATTCACATTAAAGTACAGAGACTGAAATATTAACCAAACAAATCTACAAAATATATGTTAAAAATTTCTAGCTTAAAGATGTAGATAATCTATCTATCTATCTATCTGTCTATATCCCAAATTAAGAAAGAGAGTAAGTGGAGGTCTATACATTTATTGGAATACCAAATTCTATTCTTGTCACAAGGTCCATTTCTTCTTAGAAATGAAATTGAAAATAAAATGAAGGTATAATTACACCAAGTGTTTAAAACAATAATAGACATTCAAATTAATTATTTCAAATTCATTTACTTGAGAATAAGGTATAACAAATGAATCAATGAAAGATTTATTCTCTGGAAATCATTAATTTGTTCTAGATTAACATTAACATTTTAAAAAATTACCTTTTACACTTAGTCCAATCTTCCATTTTGTATTTGTGTGATTTAATGAACTTTGGACTAGTCATTGCAAATATGTTCTTTCAAAATTAAAAAAATGTATTTCGTGGCAAAAGCAAGCTTATTGGCATAAAATGCCTAAGAAAACAAAATTATCCTATTAAGCAAAAATGATAGGTAAAGCCTGATTTCACACAGGGAATAAGAACATTTTAATATATTTAAGTTGTATGCTTTTAGCTTTTAAAGGTCTATACTATAAGGAATTTGAAGGAATTTAACAATCTCTTGACTAACTTAGAGTGTGATTTCTGAGTTTTGACTGTTGACGTTTGGCCTTATCTTTTTGTAAAATGTTAAAATATTTGCTATACCATCCCTTTTTGTAGTTTGCTTAGTTTATCTCAATGAATAAGATGCTCTCTGAGTAACAGGTTTCCAGTAATACTTTTGTCTCATCAAAGTACATGTTTATAATGGTTATTAGGGCATGCTCTGGCATTTTTAAATACAATTTTAATGGAATTTAGAAATATAAAAACTCTAAGAACTAAATATATTAACTCTTTTTACCTTTAAAAGCCTTGCTTTTTGGGAGTTGGGGATTTAGCTCAGTGAAAGAGTACTGAGTTTGAAAAAAAAAAAAGCCTTGTTTATTATCTTCATGACTTTTCTAATTAAAAGAAAATTCCCACCCTTTGGTGGGAATGAGTTTCAATCATTAAAAAAAAAGTGACAACATTGATGTTGTTGACATTTTAGGAGAGCAAGTTAAATGGAGACATTTTGGGTTTTGTGTCATTACAAATACTGCGCATGCTAGAGAGCATGAGCGATAGGAAGACAGAAGTGTCATAATATATATTTCCTTCTGCCAGAGACAATGTTTGGCATGGATTCAGTGCACCTCAGGCTTTCCAAATTCTTACTCTGACACAAATGTCCTGCATGTAACTTTACAGAAAAGGATCCCACATACAATTCCATGATGCTTATGTGGAATGTCAGTATGGCACTGGAAGGGGTTTTCAGCATCTCTAGTCCTGTGCCTCTTCCTGACTGGCTGGAGAAAGAGTTCTTTCTGTTAGCTGTATATGACAGGCTGGCCGCCCTCAGTGGGACAGGCCAGCAGTGATGAGGTTTCAGTGTAACCGGCTGCTGCTCACTTGTTCTGCTGGATTTTTCCACAATTAAAAGAAAATATTTTGTAAATATAGATAAAAGTCTAAACAAAAAGCAAGCATTAAGCTTAGGTCTGAATTTTCTCTTTCTGACGGGTGTTCAGTAACAGGATTTCCCTGGTGTTGTGCTTGTCATTCCACTCCGTGTGCTTGGTGACCTGCCTTTCAGAGCGGAAAGAACTGGGTCTCTGGTTGGGACAGAGTGCCCTCTCTTGTGTCTGTGAACACAAGTGTGGGAGGCTGTCAGATAGCTCATGATCACCCCAGAGCATATTTTCCTGTGTTGGAACAAATCAGAAGATGATGTTTTGATGGTAGAATGGCAGAGCCCTCAGAAAGAGGCACGACACATGCAAAGGCCCTTTAGTGGGAATGACTTTCCATCATTTTTTTAAAAAAAAAAGTGAGACCCTGGACAGAGTGAATCTGGGAGGAATGGCAGGCTCCCAATTATGAAGGGTATAATACACCCTGGTGAAGAAATTTTCTTTTTCTAATTGCATTGGGAAGACACTAAAAAATTTTAAACACTGTCATAATAGACTAGTGTTCATACTTTTAGTTTACCAGTCTGACTACCAAATGAGGAATGAGGATAAGAAAGGAAGGAATGAGACCAAGGAAATGACTGCAGTCTGCCCAAGGAGCCATGTCTTTGAGACTGAAGCTGAAATAGTCTGGAGGTGATACAAAGGAGTGGGACTTACAGGGCATAGTGAAAGAAGTGCTGGCAGAGTTTGCTAAGAGGGGAAGGTAACAAAACCAAGAGTGGCTGGTAGGTGTTGACCCGAGTGCTGGAAGAGCAGTCACATTTCTGAGATGAGAAAGAATAGTAGGTTTGGGGTAAAGGTGGAATATTGGATGTTGTTTTCCATACTGAAGATAAGAAGTATAAAAACCTTCTCAGCACCCAAGTCAAGAGATGGAATAGAAACAGATGAATATATCGGTAGATTTTCAAGTGATAGGAGAGGAAAATTTGAAGAAGTTAGAAAAGCCAGAGGACTCGATGGCCTCACATAGGGGGAAGGGTAAATGGAGAAAAGGGCCAAAGAGTGAGCATTCGGCACTCTGCCTATTAGAAATAGGAGCTCTCAAGAGAACATTGTAAGATGTAGCCAGTGAAGTAGGTGGAAAAATATGTGGTATCCAAAGAACCTAATGAATAGTGTTTCAGGAGTAAAGGGTCATGCACAGCCAGCACCTAAGAGCAGACAAAGAGGCTATGAACTTGTTAGGATACTGGCTGCTGAGGAGTCTAAGAAGCAGACATGAGCTTAATTGAAAGACTAGAGGAGAGGATGAAGGAGGCAGAGAGGAGTGAGGGGTTCCACTGTATGTCCTGACGCACTGAGATAGGGACACGCAGGGACTGTAACAAGGGAAGGTTGGTTAGTGCTTTAGCAAAAGACAGACAGCATGTTTTGTTGCAGTGAAAAGGATTCCAAAGAAAGGAAAGGGTAATGTAGCCAAAGAGACAAGTAAGAGAGTCAGAGGCTAAGTGGCAGGAGAGCAGAGAATGGGACCTGGAGCTCTTACAGCAGAAACAGTGGAGAATCTGCAGGTGCAGTGGAGGAGGGAGGTGGTTTGTGATAGTGGTGAGAGGAAGCTACTTTCACTGTACCAAACAAGAGATGCTCTGTCCTCCATGAGGACACCCACTGAGGCCAGGAATCATGACCTATCTATTTGGATCCTGAGCTCCTGACACAGCACTTTGTTACATTGGCTTACATAGTATTTCTTTAACTATTTTTTCCAATTTCTTTTTCATATCTACCTTGAGCACCACTATTTGTTTTAAGAGTAATATCTG